GGTCTGTTGGAAAAAGGAGATGTCACATACCTCTGTGCACCAATGAGGCTTCAGCAACATTTTAATCAAAGCGTGATGACACTGTCAATCAAATCTCATAAAACTACACCCACCTATTCCTGATGAAGCAGATTAACTGGGGTTTAGAGTGTTAAAGTCTTAATAACTAATACTTAATTACTACTGTAGCCTACTGTTTGTTTTTGTAGAAAAATATTTAATAATTTAATCATGTTCTTATTTATAATGTTTTCAAGTAAACTTAGGTTCTAAATATTTTTTAAATATTTTATGTCCATATTTATCTTTTTACTCTTTTCATTTGGTATCCAAGTTGTGTTGACTGCCCTTCACAGTGCTGCAAATCCCTTACCTATGTGACCTAGCTTCAAGAAGAGCTTCTTTATGAAACTCTATGTAGGCGTCATAGCATTTCACGATGTTGAAATCACTCTTCCCTTCCTGTAAAACACTCTTTGTGGAGGTATCTCAGATCAAATGGGCTTTTGTGGGTGTGCGTACGCATATTCGTTCATCTGTGTGTGTTTGTGTTTGTGTGCAAATGTGTGTATTGTGTGTCATCAGAGGGCCAATTCTTTAATGTGTTTGCCTGCCTTCCAGCTCTATGTTAAACCCCTGCATTGCAGCACTGCCAGTGGGATTTCAGCAGGCACGGCCCTTTTTTTTCTGTAACCCTCCTCACAATAGAGAGATTAAATTTGGGCCAGATCCCTCCTGCGTGGAAAGCTCTTCGCTCACACATGCACATCTTCCAGTGTTCATACGCTACGCTCCAGAGAGCACAGGGCAGCTCAGAGCCCCCAAAAGTCTCCTGTAGCTCCTTTTGCTCCACATGAATCCCAACCCCCCCTTCCCCCGTCTGAGTGGGAGCAACAGTCATGAAGAGCCACGTGTCTTGGAGACAGACACAGACAGAGGAACGAGAGACTGAGAGAGAGAAAAGGAAAACATGGGATCCTTGGGGGCTCAGCTATTCAAGTGCTGTCTTAGAGGCTGCACAGTAATCTTGTTAAAGAATGGGAAGGCTCTGTAGTTTGGTGCTGAGTGACTTTTCTGGTTGTTTGGACTACACGGTCCTCTTCATCAAACAGAGATCAATTGGGGAATAAGAGGCAAAATAAATCAGAGGATGTACTTTCTCTTGGACAGCAGTGTGATTTCAGCAGTTTGGAATATTAGAAGAAAGGTTTATTTCAAGTCTCTTACCATGGACTTGTTTAATCAATGAGACATACTGGAACAATACTGGAAATATTTTTTTTATCAACAGCTAACAGCTGACAAGTTAAAAAAGATAAGGAATTTTGTAACAGAAATGCTGGTAAAAAATGGTGTGATAATATTTTGGAGAAGACTACTTGTGGTTTCAGGAGATATTAACATAAAAGGAAATTTCAAGCAACTGTTACCATTGGTGTATCGCCAATCAGGTCAAAAAATAGCATAACAGTGTATTGCAGTCCTAAAGCCCCTGAAATACGGCTTTAAATGTTTTCTTTGTAACTTATATTATATTATTATTGTTATATACGTATATTTATATATGGCTAATCAGCAGTCAGTAAAAAATATATATTTTGGTGTTATTTATTGAGTTGAACTTTCAAAAACTTGTTGTCTGCAAATTCTGATTTAAATGTTGCTGAATCCTGATTGGTGCACAAAAGTACATGGCGTCACCTTTTCCAACTGAGCCCGCTGCCCACTTTAAACCAGTAAGAAGAGAACAGAAATATGTAACTAAAGAAATCTCTCATGTGAAATAACCAAAATTGTTTTACCTTAGTCTGAAAATAGTGGTTTCATATAGACATAGGATAAAGAAGTTGTCAGGGCAAGTAGCACTTATCCACCTTTTATGCTACCGTATCACAGAATCACAGTTGAGATAGTAGGGATCTATAGTATCATAACAAGACATTATTTCAATGTATGTCCAAAGGTATATCAGTAACCTAAACAAGGTTCAGGCTTATGTGACTTGGTGCAGTCTTTTCATTGGCATGAGCGTGATTAAACAATTTAGATTAGTTAAATCTGTAGTCATGGAAAATTCTAACTGAAAGTCTTGAAATTTGTTCACATCCACTGACACCTACATCCTGACATTTAATGTTCTGGCTTATCAGTGTTCATTTTGATATGACTCCAATGCCAGCATGGTTCACTGGCATGGACGTGAAATGAAAACCAAGGGGCAGGGCCTTCATTAAATTCCCTTTTCGTTTTTTTTCCTTGCATACTTTGGTCCCATGGGGACATAAATAGGTGTGGGAAAGATCCAATTATGTTCACCAAGAGGCAATTCCCTTTAACGTGATTGTATCTGAGAATCTGCCCATCAGGGCCCGTCGTCCCCGTCAGCTTGCCAATTTATGATCTTTCAAGATTTTTTTTTGCCTTTTTTGAGTGAGATTTGACCTTATATTTGTCCTCACTGGATAATGTTTATTTCTGCTGAGATTATGTTATTATATACACATTTAACAGGCAAGAACATTTGAGGTCAGAGATTCAAATCAGGTCTGATTGAATGTTTTTGGTTTTGGATTTTGAATTCAGTCCTTGTCGTTTGACCTTTCTGTTTGAATCAATGAAAATGCCACTTGTATTGTTGGAGTGCTGCAGTGTGAAGCAGTGTTGAAGCACTGCTTTTCTCCTCCCTGTCACTGCGGCCCCTCAGCTACATGCAAACAACTCACTTTGACAGTTTCATAGTATTTCTATGAGGACTGCAGGTATTTCACTATGCAGGAACCTAAAGGGTCCCCAGTTTATACTCCTCCATGTACCATGAAATTATTCTTCTGTGCACTGGTATTCATCATCAGCAGTCTTGTTGTCTAAAAATGCTTTGAGGTACCTGTGCTAGAATTAAAAGGTCACCAGCAAGAGGTATATCGAAAATGTTTCAGTATTTTATCAGTGTTCGTTTTTATCATAGATTTTATGGCGGCAGGACCGAATGATGGATTGATCTCAAGGGTGTTACTTACTTAAATAGCAACTGGAATGGGAAAACAGTTTTGAGTATCTTTAGTCAAATCCATATATAATGTAATCTAATTCACAGAAGAAAAGCTGTTCTGGTGATGGCAGACTTAAATTGTATGAACTGTTTTCCTTCACTGAATTGCACAAATTGAAGTTGGTTATCTCTCCCTGTGGATGTCTTTCATGATACAATTACAATAAAGCAATTAAGTCCAGTGATTCATGAAATTGATTGTTTTGCAAAAATAGGAGAAGTAAATTGGGCCACAGATACAGAATATTCTCAAAGGTCTACAGAAGAACACGTACAGAATTTGACTGATCCCAAAAGTTCTTTAATTCTCTCATCAGCAGCATGTTTTTCCACTAGGGTAGCTTTGCATGACTCACACTTCAAAAACATCCTTATTTATCTTATACTGGCACTTCATGCAGCTTTTCAGTTCATCCTCTGTACGTAACAAGCTGTCTCTTTAAGCCACCGCACCGTCCCTAAAAGCCAGATTTCCTCTGATTGGTCAGCTTTGCAGAAAGCCTGCCGAGGGGCTGATGAGCAGACATCAGCTAGTCACGTACAGTCGAAACACTGCATTGGAAACATTGCATTCAGAGCAGTCTAAATTCTCAGCATTTTCCTCACAGGGATTACTTTAACATATGTTTACCTAATTATTTGACACTGGCCTTAATATCACAAACATGTCATATCTCTACTTTCCATGGAAAAGTCACAGTGACAGAGACTCAAAGGGAGTTCCTCCACCCGGCCAAGAAACACTACAACATATAATCCCCAGAAAAAACACAATTTGTCATTTTTACACTTTGGTGCGGGTAAGGCAGATAATATTACCTTTTATTATTATTTTCTTTTGTTATTGTATTATTCTGACAGAACCAGGCTGTTTCCCCCTGTATCCAGTGTTTAAACTAAGAATCAGAATCAGAAATAATTTATTGACCCCCGGGGGGACGTTTTTAGCCAGGCTAACCATATCCTGGCTGTAGCTTTATATATTATAGAGAAATCACAGTGTATCTCTTTTATTTCGTGTTATCTCCCAAAATGTCAAATTATTTCTTTAACATTTGAGTATTTTTTACAGTGGTTGATAGAACAGCTGGGGTTGTCTGACTTATAAATAAGTAAATGAAGAATCAATCATGCTCTAAAATGTGTCAATTGAATATATAATCTAATATAGGATTTAGGAGCAAATATTTATTTACCAAAACTAATTTTGTTCTCCTAAGATTATTTAAACCATAGAGATTGGGAAATGTGTTGCTTTGATTAGATTCTATTATTTGTCTAACAGAAGCATTAGTGTGTTGTTGTTCATTTGTCAAGACCTGCCTGTTAGATTTGTCAGTAAAACACCTCACATCGATGAATTAATCTTTAAAGGTTTCCCTGGAAACACCATTGTGGAGACATATTGGAAATACAAAGGTCCAGAATCTATGTTGTGAACTAAAAGCTCTTTTGACTCAGGTTTTAACTTTGTGTCGTGGTTTAGCATGTGGTTTTAGGTATAGCACATTTATTCACAGCCTGTTTGTAATGTGAAAGTCATTACAGTGATACTTCAGTAATGACAATGATTTAATTCAATAACTGGTGAGCTGCAGTGTGCAACGGAGAGCTGTCAGTGATAATTCATTCGTCCTGCAGCTTGCGGATCAGAAAAGTTGCCTTTAGGCATATATCAGCTTGTTTATGTGAAGAAGACAGCTATCAATATTCTTCTCTTGACTCAAAATGATTTTTGCTGCAACCATTTTGTGTAGTGTCCCTTTTGTTTTTTTTTATCCTTATTTTATTGTTTTAATTCAGGAATGCTCATCTCACTAGCTTCATGGAGTGGGATTTAATACTATGGATTATCTTGAAGTGATGTTTTCAAATCTCAACAATACAGATGTTTCTTTGACTCAAAGAGCGAGCTAAGCCTCTCTGAGTTCACACTGTCTTTCTCTTTCAGGGTTTCTGACTGACAACATTCTCATTCTGATTGCCTCCAGCCACCTTTCGAGGATTCAAGATTTGGCTGTAAGTATCCTAGGAGCAAAGATATTATGTGCGTGAGTCGAGGCTCTGAGCCAGCACTGTGAACTTGAAGGTTGTGAGATAGAGAGAGAATGGGGGGGTCGGGGGAGGAGATACTCCACTCTATCAGAGCAGTCTAGTGTCATTGCCGTGACCGTCCTCTTTAAGAGAAGACAGATCACTGCACATTGTTAGATGCCTCCATCCTCTGCAACTCCCCTCACAGAAATATCATCCATTCCTCGTCATTTGAGAAATCCAGCTTGCCTCCTCTCCCTTACTGTCCGCTGAAGGCACGGCCCAGATGGTGGACTGTCTATGGCTGGATGCTCTGTGAAACTGTCCAGTAATATAACACTCTGATGAGCTGTAGGGTGAAACACTAATTGGCCTGAAAGGAAAATTATGTTGATTATCATTAATTGCTTTGTAGAAATTAATTTGTTATTTGTACTTCATACCAAATTATTTCAGGGGAATATTTTTGGGCTTCACGTGGAATTCAAAACTGAAATCAGTACAGTATTACAGTATATGCAAATTGATATGAGCCTTGCGTTATCACATGTTTTGGACTCCACTAGATGTCAGCATGAAACCTTGTGTGTTGGGTTTTCCCCACTCTCCCATCTGTTCTTAGAAAAGCTTTGCATTTGCCAGGGAGGAGGGAGCCCACTGCAGTGTGTAGTGAGCAGGAAAGGCGTGGTGAGGATGAAGGTGCAGCCCACTGTGAACAAGCATGATTTACTGTTGGACTGGCTCTTTGTGCGCCAGTCTCCATCATACCCTGCACACTCCAGCACTCTGCTGATTAATCAGAGTCATTTCAATGAGTGATGGAAGCTCCAGTGCCTCAGGGGCTACAGAAAGCTAATAAACCTCAGCGGACAATAGCCACGCCTGGAAGGACGGTTACCGGCCACCACTTTTATACTGGCTCTGTTACTACAGCCATCTGCCATTATCCAGCCCTCACTGCTCTGTGTCAACCTCCTCGTTATTAACATTGATCAGCTCAACATCTACTGAATGAGAATTTATACCCTGGGGACTGGTGGTACACAATTAGCTGTTTGAATATGCAGCAACATTAGAGGCTGTAGCTTTTAATAAATGCATTGTGATACTGCCAGACCAACTGGTGAAAAGCACATAAGTTCATTCTTATCTCAGGTTTTGGGTCAAGGCCCCATTGGTGAATAAGACAAAAAAAGAGCAGTCCTTCTTTTCTATCAAAATTGAACTTAACATAATGAAGAAGAACTTTCAAATAAAATCAACTTACAGTTACAAACGGTTGTCTGTTTACACATCCAGTGGCAGAGCTGTTTAATTTTAGAACCAGGGATCAGCAAATATTTGACATTTTTGCTTGGAAAATTACTGAAATTATCGATTATCATTTCTTTTTTTGTTTATTAATCTTTTATTTTTTGCTTTACATACATATTTTTTACTTTTACAATGCTCATACATATATCCTTTTATTAAAATTGCCTTCCTTGTTGCTAAAAGAAATGTTCTTATTATAATGTAGAATAAGAATAGTTGTAAGAATTGATTTGTACAATCTATAAAACTACAGTTGTTATTGAAACAGATTTCAACTCAGAATGTGGCATTTAGTCCTAAATTGCTGTTTTCATCCACAGTACCACTTCAATCGTCAGTTGCAGGAACACAAATTGTAGCCGTCTGGAACAACAGAATGGTTTCCCTCTCACTAGGATAAATGGGCCAACACAATGAAACACAAAGTACTGCATTGGTGCAATCCTCCTGATATCTGCAGTAAAGCATCCGGCACAGAACCAGATCTAATCCCGTACTGCTGTCATTGTTGTATATTTACAACACATACATGAAGGCAGCATTCACTTAGAAAAACGTTGAGATCAGGGGAGCAACAGCAATGCTTTGCTGCCTCATGTTAAGGGCCACTTCAGAAATAAATCTTAAAACTTCACTTGATAAAAAAAAACACTAGATGCTGTTGTATGTTTGTGCATGTGTTCTGTATCTTTTTATGCAAATGTAGCGTTTTTTTGTTCTCATGTCACCAACATAGAAAAGAAGCCTCAGTCTTTTTTCCTGATCGTCCTTCCTACTTTCCTTTTTTTCTCTATTCTTGTTCTGTGAAATATCTCTTCTGTCTCTAAGAAAATTACCTTGTTAAAACATAGCCATGTGAGTTAAATCATTGCACAGAAGAGCACACGGAGTTACATGTGATTTGGTAGAAAAGGCTGGGTAGGGCATTGCATTTTAATAGCTTCCTATACTCATTGACTAAACAGCTTTCATACGCGGCTGTATGCTCCATCCAGTTAGTCTCCACAGCACGGACACCTTATTAAATATGTATTCTAAGTTGCACTGAATTCCTCTAGAGACTTGGCCTGTTTAGTTCAAAGTAAGGTCTGATGTGTTTTTCTTTCTTTTTACTCAATGAAATGATGCTGATGATTACTAGATTATCGGTGTATTTGGAGTCTGCTGTAGCAGCAGTAGTCAACAGCATAAAACTAGGATAAAACCATTCATACTTGTCATATGTTGCTACAAATCATTATGCCTGTGTTTTATGTCACATGGGATAGGTGCCAGCATTGCTCACCATAGGTTTACCCAGCATGCTATGAATCTAGTTTGGATCAATATCCTGTTCCCACTCAGACACTGAATCAGACCTGCTTTGGTTTCAGGGCACTGGGCTATAAGATAGCTCCTCCAATGTGGGAAAGAGTGCACAAAGGAATACAGGCTGGATTAGCTTTCATAGATTCAATAGCAAGGCCTAAATGTCATACAGCTTTGATGATGAGGAGGGAATATAAACTATTCAGCTTTATTTAGTGCAAATCGCAGTGGAAGGCTGACATTTTACTTTCACCCTACACAAAACAATATGGAGGCGTAGATATGGAGGAAGAGCTGAATCAGCCACCTTCCAGGTTTGATTGTATGTCTGCTGACCATATTCTGTATGTTTTATTTTTTGTCAGCAAATCTGTTGCTAACAAGTTTTGTCTGTGTAGCCAAAGCTTGATTTAGCTTATCCATCTATGATGTAGACCTCAATTTTTATAATGAATGCTTACGACAAATCAAATGTGAATCAATCCACAGCTGGAAATAGTTCCCTGGTACTGCTCCATTTACTCCTGTTTGAGTAACATCTGCCAAAAAACTACAATGCCCACCTTTTTCAGCAGCAAGTAGTTAGGCTGTTTTTAAAAATCTGTCAAAATCTTGAAACTAGTTTTTAAGGATTTATGTCTTCAGTAGGAATAAATTTGCTTGGTGCCACAGACAGGGTAGAGAAGTGGGAAAATAGCAACACGCGTTGGTTTTTATTTTTTTATGGCATTTGCTGACAATAAGAAAAATATAGAATAACGCCAGCCTCAACCCTCAAAGTTTGTACACTTTAGAAATCTAAAACCAAAGGTGAAGAAATAAAGATATATAGAGTATATCTGGATGTACAGAGCTGTACTTGTACCTCCCCTATATTACAAGATCACTTCTAACTCAAAACCAGCAACCATACATTACTACCTGACCCCAACACTGATAAATGGTATTACCACAGACAGGGAACAAATTACATTCCTCTCTCTCCAGTTGTATGTTTTGAAATTACAAAAAGCCATCTCTCTCTCCCTTCCATTTTCACTGATTGAGACTTTATTGATTTCTTGTTCAAGCGCTCATTGCTGGCCAATAAGGAGGGTGATTCACTTAGGGGACGATGATAATTCTTGGTGAGACACAGTAATACCCAAAGGGCTCCAAACTGTCTGGTAGTCGGTGTTAAGCGAATGGGTGCGTCACATCTTGTCATTAAACAAGCTGATTTGCACAGTAATATGCCTACTATAAGGGGAAAAAACATGGTGAGTTAAAAGGTATGAGGATATTAATGATGATTAAGAAAGTATTTATACTATTTTTTAAACCCTTCTTTACTAAGCTGCAGGTGCATATATAAAGCAGTGTGAGAAAGAAAGGACAGAAGTGTTAATCAGCAAAATCTTTTTAAATCATAGCAAAAACTCTTGCATATTTATATTCTTACACATAGTCTTTGTGCCGTTGTCGTAGGATTAAAATCTTCTTTAATGACAGTGGGAGTGGTGCAAGTCCAAAGACATAATTCAGATAAATGGATAGAGATGGCAAGAGCGAAAGAGACTCAGCAGCAGACAACTGCTGCGGTAAGCACACAGCAAATGACAGGCTTGTCTTCGTCCTATTATCAAGAGGTCTCATCTAGAGTATGTCATTTTCTTCCATTTACTTATTTACATCCAGTTTTTTTCATGCAGTTGCAGCCTTGTAAGCTCAGGAACATATCTGAGCCTGGTGGGGTCCCCAAGCAGCAGTGCTGTTAGAGCCAGGATGTGGGTGCCGGGTCGGACAGCAGAGCATATGGATGCTTTTGGATTGCCCTTATGTGCTGGACCGGTGTGCATATTGCTGCATACAGCACCTTGTGAGCAGCATCACAAATCAGCCGGCTGAGTAGTGAGAGCTGGAGTGGACGGGAGAGATGGAAGATGGAGAGAAAGCAAAAGGGGAAGGGAGAGGGAGACGGGGAAAGGGGAGGGGAGGGGGATCCTTTCAGTGACAGAGATAGAAAGAGTGGAGAGAGGGAGAGGAGGAGGGGATTCAGAGAAACAGAGGTGGGGGTAGTCACCGAGAGAATGAGTGAGCGTGTGTGCGTGTATGTGTGTATGTGTGTGGGAGAACAAGTAGTGCTGCAGTGGAAACAGTGCGAAGAAGACTGCAGTTTCTGGTGCTGATGGGAGAGCGGACAAGGGACGTTATTAAGGCATTGTAACATTAACCCTAAGTGCCTCTTTGGTGAATGGGTTAGCCTGTTGTGGAGGACAGGATTACGGAATTACGGTAGTGCTGGTAAGGGTGTATTTTAACTCTCTTCTCAGCATTGCTTGAACACATTTTTTAAGGAATCTGGAAAAGAGTTGTAGCCGTTT